GCGAGTAAACGGAGAAGATAATAAGCGATGTGAACGATCGGACGCAAACAACGAGAAAGGACCACGAGGCCTATGAAACCGGATACTCACGTATTCTACCATTCTACATTAACTTATATAAATAATTAATATATATTAATATGAGGAAACGAAATGCTAATGTTCCATGTGGGATATATTCGGCTAGCACTCGTAGACGCAGTGGGGGCCCACTGTGCATGCACACACTGGCACAGTTCTATCTTCGGATTATTCATATTAAAAGCATCAAGGAAAGATGTAGCCTCCTTTGCAGCCGTTCTTAGGGTCGTCAACGTTGCGTGACGACCCTAAGAACGGCTGCAAAGGAGGCTAGGAAAGATGCTAGGAGGCTAGGAAAGTTGAAGTAAAATTATACAATTAACGCCTGAAATAAAATTTCAATGAGTTAGACCTTTTTTTCTGATGTATTAAAGTAAACAAAAACGCTTATTAGGTACAACGTCAACATTTCGATTTTTTCAGAAGACTCGTAGATCGAGCCGGTTATCGAAAAAGCTATTTTAATTAGAACTCAAGAAGAGAGTCTGATTTCAAGCTCTTTTTCACAGCTTTATTTGGGAAAACTAATATTACAATGTATTGAATAGAAAAAAAACTAATAGTTACCCAGAAAGGAAAGTCACGAACGGGAAACGTTACCCATGCAAGGTGACCACCTCATGAATTGTTGAAATAATTAAACATAAAAATATATGCAAAAAATATAACATTGTACGTAAAAAATGAAAATAAGAATGGAAAAATAACTTCATTAAGATAAAACTAGTATACTTYATGAGGTTAACCTCTATGACAGGGACATTCTCGAGAAGCAGACCAGGTACAAGACCTGTCAATATCAAAAACAGAATCAAGTAAAGAAAAGTAACGTACTGAAATGTGGTTTTTGAAATGTGGTTTTTGAAATGTGGTTTTTGAAATGTGGTTTTTGAAATGTGGTTTTTGAAATGTGGTTTTTGAAATGTGGTTTTTGAAAGTAGCTGTCTCCATAGAGACAGCTCAAAGTCACGGCGGTATTCAGCAAGAAAATAATCATGTAGATGTACGTGGATCGTAGAAACAATAGCAAAAGATGAAAAAAAGAACAATTCCAATGGTGTTTGAAGGAAGTTCGGCCAGTTTTGTCATTTAAGTAAGCCGTTCTGAATAACAGTCAAACAAGCTCAAGCGTTGACCCCTAGATTCGATTAATGAAATCATTAGTCAATTATTCCTTTTATACGTACGAACCGGAATAATGCAATATTGCAATATTCAAATGAAAATTCAGTTCATTATTCAACTCGTGATGAAGAAGGTAAATCATCTAAATTACAGATACCTTCGAGCAAAAGTTGCTCTCTTATTTAATAAGCATACACACGCACTAGGTTTTGTAATTTCCATCCCTCAATTACTTGGAGGATATTATCAGTAAATTTGTAGGGAACGCCTTGAGCGAAATGGAGACACAGTAATGTTAAAGTATTTTCTGGACTCCCCAAATAGAAAATTTCAGTGGTCACGAATTTTTTTATTGGACAATCCGCTATTGCTGAGATGAACAATTTCCTGTCGAATAATATCAGGTAAAGGCTTTCCCGGCACATAAACACGGCCAAGACTATTTCTGGCCGCCATGTTTTCTTAGTCTTCCGGCTGTGTTAGCACTGATTAACAAATCAAAATATCGTATATTGAATTTAAAGTTGATTGGAATTTTCATATCTTCGTTTTCGACGTTGTAAATTTCAACTGAATAATGAAATCCAAATTCGAAAATTCAAATCATTAATCGACTCTAGGGGTCAACGCGTGAGCTTGTTGACTGAAAAAGTAGATTCATCGCCACGCATTACAAGATTACAAACAGCCGAAGCAATGCTCAGATTGTATGTTGAAAAGTGCGAAGGTCTAACGAGAATTCGCTCCAATAAATAATCATTAATTTACAGACTTGCATGAAAATAAATAGCATTCCTAAACGAATTTCTATAAAATATTTGCTTAGTTCACAGTGTAAATAAGTAGTTTTATTTGAAAACTTTAAGCGACAAATGTAGGACGAGCCGGAGATAAGGTATTCTTCGAGTTACGATTTTCGAGTTACACATTTTTCGAGTTACGCGCTCGGACACAACCATGTTTTGTGGGCCACGCCCACTTTGACATCTGTGCGTAACTCGACGACAAACAGCGTTGAAATCAAACTCGAGTTACGTAACTCGAACGCAACAGATTTTGATGCGTCGCGAACGTAACATGACGCGAAAATTAAGTGCCTCGCAATATGTCAATAATCAAGGAAGAATACGTTTATTACCACTGAAACGTTTGCCAAATCATATTATTAACTATCTAGGGCAATGTCTCGGTCCTACTACTGCTTTCTGTGTTCATGTCTTGAAAGGATGGGAGAAAGCGGGAATAAAGGGTGTAGTAACTTGAATATCGTGGTCAATCAGTGACTCAATAATTCATGTACAAGCGTGAATTTCTTGTGGACATTGAGAACTTCTTTGTTGTTAATGTTGTCATATAGACCCGCCGCTGCATCTTTTTTAGTTTTGACGATATTGTAGATGAAGTCGTTCTATTTGATTCAAGGATAAGTTAAATAAAATAGTGCCTTACCAATCTTCGAAAAGGGCAATAAGTATGCACGAGTTCGCCAAAGGGCGTTTGATTTCCGCTCCCCGTCCGCTCCTGAGGAAAAGAACTGCCCTTGTAATTACAACTGCAAATAGTAATAGACTTTCAAGTGGCTCGGATGACCAGTTTAAAAGTAATTTTCTTTTTACTTTACAAGAAATCCGTTCAATTTTGAAATTTAGTATTTCAATACTGTTCGCGATGGCATGGATTAAGACATTTTCAAAAATATGATTGACAAAATTATTATTATATTTGAAATTTCACAATTTTGTTTGAATTTGATCAAATAACCCACCACCATTTAATCTATAAATTGATCATAAAATTAACAAATGGGCTATTCTCTCAAAGGTAATCAAATCCAACTAGTCGGTCAAAGATATAGATGCAAACAAGTTTTAAATTCTAGTTAATTAAATGTTTGGTTTTCAAAGTCGGCACTTTTTCTAGTAATAGGCTATAATTCATGAATGAAAAGGTAAATTATACACCGTGAAAATAATTCATAGCGTAGTAGTAGCTCATCCAATAAGAATGCAGCATTAATGATAGACCACTAATAAGCCTGAAGTGAAATGACGTTTTACCCCCGTCTCTAGACCATAATCCTTTTCACATTGCTTTTGTTCTTTAATTATGACTATTGTTCCTGTATTCTCTAAGGAATCAAAAATTTTGATATGAAAGAATTAATATGAAGAAAATTATTATGGTATAGAGTGGGGGGTAAAACGTCATCTCGCTTCAGGCTTATTGGATTTGACTAAGTCTGCGTTTCATAATGTATGTCAGGGGGGGGGGGGRGGGGGGKGAAATCTTTAAATGAMAAAAAATCTTAAGACCCCCCGTTGAAGTCCCCCCTCAAAAATAACTATCCCCCCCCGGGCAATCTCTCGTAGCTTCTTCTAAAAATGTTGCACGTTTTCAAATCCCCCATTTTACTGGTAAAGGTTTTTCAGATCCCACCAAAATTTCACCTGCCCCCCTCTAATCCTTACATTATGAATGCAGCCTATTAGCCTTATAAGATATCAAAGTGTAGACCATATATCCGTTAAATAGCACAAAAACTAAATACCACTAAACACATCTATTTCTTTTGTTTCCAGGTTAAATGAAATCGCTCTGAATCACTACACAAACAAAATGATATAATTAATGACTTGGTATTATATTAAACTATAAATCATGAAAGAAACGTAAGTTGAAACAACGGCAGAGAAAGAAATCATTAGTATCAAAACTATGAACAAATTAGAAGCACAGAATGCCTAACGATGCTTATCAGTTTGGTAAAAACTTGAATTACTTTATCACACCATATTCGTTCGTATACACTTTTATCTGCAAAGCATTGCGGTTCATAATAGGTTCCAAACTTCCTCTGCAGATGGGCTACGATAAAACTTGTTTTGTCATTTTCCAAAATTCTTAAGGTCCTTTTCTTAGTCACTTAAAAAAATGTCACCTTAACGAATGAAGTTGACCAATTGGAATGAGAAWAACGACAGCTACATGTATGTTAAAAAGTATTATACAAACAGCTTGCCATTCCTGGGTCGAGGGGAAAACTGGGTCGAGTAAGCATTGCAGTGCATTTTGGGGCTGTTTAGGGCATAAAATGGACGTCATCTAAAACACTCCTGCAATGCACTTCTTCTCCAAC